TCCTATTGATCTGAGTACATTATAAAGAATAGCCAGTTAATTTAAGCATTATAGCACAGGCCTTTGTCAGATGGTATATTACACTGTTTTTTTTCCTGCTTCAAATAGTTCTCTCTTTTTTCACCATACCTGTGTTTGCATCACTGTAACCAATGAGCACCTGCATGTGTATGAGAATGGCCCTGACACCATTTCAGCCCAGATTTACAAACTCCTGGCAGGACAAGCTCAAGCTCCATTCTCGCACGGAATTTAAAAAAAGTGAGTGATGGACTGCAATATAAGAGGGAAAGAAAGAGAAACTTTAAAACTGTTCAATTGTTATGATGCGTAAAGACTGATATTGTTCTATAATCGTCTGAAACTGCTAAGTCATGATGTGAAACGGTTAACAAAGAAAAAGGGAAACTCAAGCTGCTGCTACACTTTATTTTATTTATCTAAAATTAAGCACTTTTAAGATGCACATATTTTCAAAAGCTATTTTAATTATTTTCTCTATTTTATTTTTTAATGCAGCCCGAAAGGAACATTACAGATATCCACAGTATTTACTGTATAACTGTATAGTTCAATGTTAATTTACAATAAATATTGTTGTTTATGAATTGTACTTTCTTCATTTGATTGGCAGTCAGTTGTTGATTACATGCAGACGTTGATAAAGCTACAGGCTACTTCAATAATATATTCACACTAATTCATAAAGCAACTTAGACATTTTGATGTTCCGGTCCTTTGCATGGGGAGATTTTCTCTAACTGGACCTCGTTGAATTTTAGTTGAATACCCCTCTACAAAATAGATACCGTATGTGCAGTATATCAGAATGTACTAAAGTAACAGTAAAATCTTAATCAGTGATGCATAAAACATCAAAAGTAATAGAAGTGTAAACATATGACATTTTAACTGTGACATTTCTGTAATACATGTGTGTGTGTGTGTGTGTGTGTGTGTGTGTGTGTGTGTGTGTGTGTGTGTGTGTGTGTGTGTGTGTGTGTGTGTGTGTGTGTGTGTGTGTGTGTGTGTGTGTGTGTGTGTTTATGTGAATATTAGTATCCATGAGCAGGTGGCACCTCATGGCAGCCTCTCTCTGTGTGGATGTGTGTGAGTGGGTGAAGGCTGACACGTTTATTTGAAGTGCTTTGCAAAATTGGAAAAGCGCTGTTCAGATGTAATCCATTGGATTGGATAAGGATAAGGAAAGATAAGTTGGATAAGGAAAGAAAAGTTCTAAAAAAAAAGAATTGTCTATTGTATGATGCAAGAGACAGAAACACTGCATCCTACAATTCCCATAAGGCAACTGGATAGAATCTTAGAGGATCTTCCTGCCTTGGAGTTCCCCTGAATGTTCACGCCCAGCTTGTAAAGTAGTCCTCTGTTTTGTGTCGAAGCCCAAGTGAAGATATTTTCTGACAAAACCCCTCCTACTCCTCAGAAGACTTGAAGCTGAGTTTAGGTCTAACCACAATACATAAACTGACCTCCATCTCTGTCTCTGATTGCTTGCAGCCCAGCTGGAGTTCGTCCAGATCCTGGTGATCGTGGTGGTGATGATGGTGATGGTGGTGGTCATCACCTGTCTGCTGAACCACTACCGCCTATCAGCTCGCTCGCTGCTCTCCAGACACGCCCCCGCCCGCAGGAGACACCTGCCACTGGCCAGCGTGAGTCATACACACCTGAATAAGAGGGGGAAGAAGTACTCAGATACTGAAGTGAAATAAGCAATACTATGTATGTAATAATACTCATGAAATATAAACATGCACAGTAGGGTGGTCCTTAGTGCCATGTACATTTTCAAATTCATTTATTTGAAGCTCCAACCTCCGGAATTCGTTATGATAATCAAGAAAAATCTCCTGGTGAATTGTATTCAAATTCCAACAGCATTTACCCCTCCCTCATCAACCTTGAAGTTTAGTCTCACGTAGGGTGGTCCTTAAAATTGAAAGTGGGAAAGTCTAAGCTCCAACCCCTATTCCATTTTTCAAGAAAACTCTCCAGGTGAATGTTTTCCTCAATCTGACAACATGTACCCCTCCCTCATGGCCCTGGGCTGCCAGCAGCAGCACGGTGCTGCAACTGAGGCTAAACTTCCAGGTCGATGAGGGGGGGGCACGTGTTGTCAGATTGAGGAAAACATTTACCAGGAGAGTTTTCTTGACTAATAGAATGAATTCTGGGGGTTGGAGCTTAGACTTTCCCCCTTTCAATTTTAAGGACCACCCTAATGCACAGTCAGCAAAGACCCAGGTTTTTATTTTGTATTGATTATTCATCTTCAAGAACAGTATACCTGGTCTCTTAACGTTCAGGGTTAAAGTATTTAACCTCTTCTTTGGTCATGTCATCTGTCAGATAAATGTAATGGAGTCAAAAGTGAAATATTGGATACCAAAATGTAGTGCAATAAAGTAGTAATGAAAATCCTCAGATGAAAGTACGTCAAATTGGTACTTAAGTTCGATTCTTGAGTTAATGCACCTTGTACATACATTATTATTAACATAATTGGATGATTTAGTGGAGGGCTTGTTTCTTTATAAGCTATGCTCTCTGCCCTCCCTCTTCAACCAGTTTTGTTTTCCTGTACCTTGACTGTATTGATGTTGAATGAGTTGAAAAAAATCCACCACTTAACACTGAATGTCATCTATCAACATTCATCAACACATCTCTTTCATATTGATTCCTAAGTAGATTCAATTTAATATGCTTAATATCTGGAGTGTAGTTTATGCCAATACAAATCTTAAATTGTGTTGATAAAGCAACTTGCTGCGAGAGTTACAATGAATTCCTGTACAAAAACTGGGCCATTGGGTAAGCTTTCATAGCAGATATGAGTCATATACAACTAACGTTGGATGTTTAAATATATGCATTACACAGAATTGCATATTAAGGCTGAACAAACATGGAAGCATGAAATGAAATCAACAATGAAAGTAACAGCCTACATGTGTATGTTGTATACATGAAAAGCTCCAATATCACTATAGAAACATGTCAAATGACTTAACATGACTCAAGGAAAACATAAAAGCAGTGCTCCACTGCAGAACGAGTACAAAAGGTGTGTGTTCAGAGTTTTAGTCACAGTTTCTACTGAGAGACAGAATCAGAAGAAAGCAGAGTGACAGCATATGATCATAGTTATTAAACACTGCCGCAGGCTAACGCTAACACACTGACTCATTATTCATTAAGGGCCACAGCGAGCTAGCAACGACTTCCAGGACACACACACACACAAACACACACGCTGACTTACACCTGAGGCTTCTCCAAACATATGACTGCTACTGAATCACTGAGTGTGTGTGTGTGTGTGTGTGTGTGTGTGTGTGTGTGTGTGTGTGTGTGTGTGTGTGTGTGTGTGTGTGTGTGTGTGTGTGTTGTGTGTGTGTGTGTGTGTGTGTGTGTGTGTGTGTGTGTGTGTGTGTGTGTGTGGCTCCAGTCTCCAAGTTAGATATGAGTGAAGGATGAAACATAATCATACACACACACACCCACAGACACACACACACACACACACACACACACACACACACACACACACACACACACACACACACACACACACACACACAGAGATAGAGCTCCTGATAAGCTCAGGGGAGTCATTGTCCTAGTTCATTTGGATGATCAGACTGACACACATACAGGCAGACAGACAGGAAATGTGTCGCCTGAGAATAAAAAAAGTGACAAAAGTTGGAAAAGTTCCATCCAGACATTGTTTATAGAAGTTAAAAGCTGCTTTTGTCTCCATTCTGTGAGACATTGAGACAAAACTGACAGTTCCACAACACTGTATTCATCCTGAAGCTATTTAAATTTACGCTGGGAAACTGGGTAATCAAATGTGGAGATCTTTACAAAGGTTGCGCAGAAATTCGGATGAGTAAAAAAAGAAATCTCTGATTCACTCAGACATAAAGGCATTACTTTACAAAATAAGAGAGTATTTTAAAAAGCCATAGAGTGCTCACAAAGTGGACAAAAAGTGAACACATTCTTCATAAGAATAATAAAGAATAAATACAACTTATAATAACCATGAAAGTGAACATACTTACCATTTGATTGAACATAATAATCATATATGTATTGCTTTAAAAGTTATTGAAATAGCCTTATTGGCATTGGAATAATTACAAGAACAGATGTCACTGCGTGTGCTCTGCATGTGGGGGCCATTACAGAGGGTTTCATCCCTCCAAATATATTCTATCTGTCTATCTATGCATCTACACACATTTGGAAAATATCATCAATGGTTATAATTATTGTTTTCATTTGAACAATTACTTAACGCTGGCATGTCATGTCATGCATAGGCAAATCGTCGATTATTGTGCAGGATATAACTGATCATATATAAGATAAATAAATGATAATCTCTCTATCGTTCTCTCAGGAGGGGAGTCTGTGGTCTTCTGACGGCACGGGGACAAACAGTGGTCTAAATGAGGTGAGGCATCATTTTGACTATATCTTTATTAAACAAGGAGCATGTGTACAAATACTTTCATCACAAAAAGCAAAGAGATGATTTAAGCTGGATTTAGCTATAAGCTTTTCCATTAAATGAATAACAGAAATAAGCAAAATGAAACAGTTCATAATGTAGCAGTAACATGACATCCTTCCTCTTCACAGCACCAGGTGTACAACCCCCGGCCCCCAGACAGAGGGGCCTCATCCTACCTGCAGCGGGACCCCCAGCGCTTCCAGCACTCCTTCGCCCCGACGCGCTTCCAGCCGACGTACCCCTACCTGCCGCAGAGCCTCATCGACCTCCCACCCACCATCTGCCTGTCGGACGGGGAGGAGCCCCCACCGTACCAGGGGCCCTGCACGCTGCAGCTCCGAGACCCCGAGCAGCAGATGGAGCTGAACCGAGAGTCGGTGAGGGCCCCGCCCAACAGAACCGTGTTCGACTCCCACCCTCTGCACCCGTCACGCTCCTGTCTGCAGGCCAGGTGACTACAAACATTGATCATGTGTTGACCATATAGCAGTGCAGGGACGCTGCATGTTTGGTTGCCGAGTTAGCATAAAATGGCTGATTCCAAAGAGACGAATGGGATCTTTCCTCTAGATTTTGGAAAATTGCAGAAAATGATCTATATGGCAAACTTATGATTATGATACTTAAACGATGGGTTCAGCAGGATAATCTCCACATATTAACACCGCTTTAATAATTGTTGAAGCATAAATCGCATGACTTCACATCACCGTAGCTAAGCTAAAGGCGGCAAAGGTTCAGCGAGATTACGCTTACTTGTCACATTTAGAAAGTTGCTAGCAACCATACATTTTAAGACATGTAAAAGCTTTACACATTCACCAGTGCGGTATTAACTGTAGGGCTGTACCCGAATATTCGTTCGTTGGAGTACTATTCGGGTTTCAATTGTGTTATTCAGATATATATTGTATTTTTCTGCTCCTACATTTGGTTTTATCTTCTTTGTTCTTCACCCATCGGACTTATTCCTGACCCTTGTTGTTTCCCCCCCAGTCTGCAGGCCCCTCCTCCCAGCATGCACTCTGGCATCAGTGTGTTGGAAGCCCAGGAGTCCCGGCATCAGAAGCAGGCCTCTCGAGTGGAAGGAGCCCCCCCGACCTACAGCGAGGTGATCGGGCACTACTACCACCCGGCGTCCCTGCCCCCAAGCCACAGCCATCGGACTGTTTCCTCCTCACAAGCCTCGCCACCCTCATTCATACACGGCCTGCTGCGACCTCCACATCCCCAGCAAGGGAGCGTGGACAACAGGAACGCCAGGAATACCAAGGAGAAATCCCAGAAGCCCCAGCAGGTGTGACAGTACCGCTTCCTTAAAAAATGAAAAAATTGATTTTGTCTGCTTGGAAGTGGTCAGTAGCCAATGAGGAACAACGTGGTAAAAATCCACCCTGATGGTCATTTGTAGTGAGGTCAGTTTCCCCACTTCATGGATCTCCTTTAGGTAAGAACACATGGAAACCACATCACTCCTGCAGAGCACAGTGGCAGGAGAACATCTGGCACTTCCTGTTCCACACTTCCTATTTCCTGTCTGAGGAGCACTTCAGATGATGATGTCAGAGAAGAAGGGCAGAGGGTGCAAAGGGAAGCCTCCTTCTTCCCTTGACGCCTCCCTCCTCCATTAGACTGATCGTACTAGTCTCCATTCATTATAAATATTTTCTTGTTTTGTTTGTTCCTATAGAACCTTTTGTTTGTTTGTCTTTTTCGCGCTTACAAAAAATCTTTCTATCCAGGCAAATGGCGAAATGTTGCAATCTTCTTGGTTCTTCCAGGTTTTTGTTTTTATTTCCTAGTGATAATCCCCCCCTCGATGCTTTGACTCCATTATGTTCTTTGTCAAATGTTAGCAGCAACTCCTGCATCTGGCTTTAGCTGTATCACTGGGACACGTTAGCACGTTAGGATATTTCCAAGAGTTTAGATTTAGTTAGCATTATCTGAACCTAGCTTAGCCGTCATAGCACATCGCTAAAAGTCCCCGAGCTAAACGTTTCTGCCTTATATCGACCGATGCAGGAGTTGTCACTAAAATCCTTTTTTATGTTATGTTTTCTAAAGAAGGTTTGCACAAAGTTCACGACTGTTCAACACAGAAAAAAGGAATCCGCAATATGATTGATAAATGATAAAACAGAGAAAAGTAGGGGTATTTTTCTAAACTTTATAGATTCTTATCGTTAAGATATTTATTTTCTGTTTTACATGTTGTCTAGTTTTAGAAAAAGGAAACATCATGAATCTGTTGGGGTGCCAACTTTCACATTTTGCTACATACATGTATTACATTTTAAGTTTATATACGAACACACGTATGCAAACGGAGAGCGAAGTTAAAAGCACGAATTGAGAGTTATTTATATAAAAGCTGAAAAGAATTGCACTATTTTTTAGTATAAGCAGATGGAACATGTGAGAGAGACTTTTACTTTTCAAGTGAGGCGTAATATAAAAAGAGAAAACGTAGATTTACCAGAGGGGCGGTGCACAGCAGCATGTATCATGGAAACATATTACACTGACTTTGGATCAACCGACTCGGATACATTACCGTACCATTGATATCAAAACAAATAAATCCCTCATTTATGCAAATATCCGAGTCCTGCGAGCCAACCACGAGTCAGCCTTCAACCGGTTGGGCCCAATCAGAAACTCTGCTTGTAGCTCTCTCTCTTCCTATTGGCCGAATCGTTAGCCAATCCCAAAGCTTGATGTCACTATCTCGACCAAAACGAGCCACCAGTTTTCTCACGTTAATCAGACTTTTTCACAAACAAACGTCTGACCTAATCACGACACTGTGTACTGTAACAGGAGAGTAGTTTAATCCTGCTGTGTTCTCTTATTTCATTTTTGGATTATTGAGTGAGAAGAGAGAGATAATGCAGATCAAAGTGACACCTAACGTTGTGTTGCGTTACTTAAGGAAGGAAGCCATGTCGCCCCAGACGAATGATACGCTGACTGTGCGCTGCTGTGGCTGCACACACACCAACATTTTCTTTTGAAATCTGTCTTTTGAACGTACACACACGCTCCCCTTCTGGTAAGGTTTTTTCTGTTGCAGGCATCGCTGAGCACTTTACTGCACCAGGAAAGAGTCAACAATCTTCTGTCAGCCAGCAGCAGCCGATAAAAGCTACAGTAGAAACCTTTCATATCGTAGGATAGACTTTAGACCCACACTTGAAAAGATGCAAAGAGTTCTGCTCCAAGACTTGAAATCCCTTACAACAAATGAGAACCCACTACCTGGAATCAGTGACTTATTATCAGCCAGACCTGGGTATCAAAGAGTTTTCATTCCCATACAATGAAGAGTTTTAGTACCATGACAAACATAAAAAGAAATACGTTTTTATACAAAACTCTTATTCAAAAATCTAATTAGTAAATTGATTTGCACCATAACAAGATCAAAGTTTGATACTCAGTCTGGCTTTCCAAAGTTATTTGATGTATTATTTTATTCGACTGGATATTTCCCTCTTGTAGCATAACTCTTAGTGTTTAACGCAGCAGAAGACGAGTTGTCTCATATTAAACACACTGAAGTGTTGAAAAGTGACACGAGTGTTTACAGCGGCTCTTCTTCTGTCCTCTCTTTAGGAGCGCGGGACTAAAGGTCAAACTAATGTAGGAGATTAGGACGTGAAGACATTTGTAGTTTTTGAGTGTTGAATTGATTTTATTTGAATTGTTGTTGATGTGAGGCTTTAGTGTCCAGTCTTTATGCAACAGCGCCCTCCGCAGGGACCCAACCAAACCACAGCCAAAACTCTCGAAGCTGACTCAGCGTAATGTGGTGGAAGAAGAGAGAGTCAGAAGGCCAAAAAATACATTTTATAATCTGAAGCGGTGAGTCCTTTAACACTTTGACGTATTATCGTCATACGGTCTATCTGAAGGATACACGTGTGGGACTCTAATATCTTTTTCTTAACAACAATGAACCCTCATCAAATTTGAATTTTTTTGTCCCTGTTTAAAAAGACATGGAAGTACATTTACAAAAATCCTAAATTGAACGGTGGAAGTTAACATTGCTGTTGTTGAACTCTGTCTCAAACTTTTGCAATACAGAAAAAAGACGGATCATCAGAAGTCCTTTCTGTCCTCAGTTTGATGCACAGTATATATCACAATGTAAAGAAATCAATCTCTTGACCCAAAGCAGCTAAAGGAGTGACGAGTGGATCAATCAGAATATAAATCACCTCGTAATGACAGTATAAGCCCCCAAACACAAGTTTAGATAATTTATTAACCCTCCTTCCCTTTCCTTTTATTTCCTTTCCCTCCATCAGTATTATACTTGTGTTTGGACCAGGTGTTTCCTCTAAAATGGTTTGGGTCCCTGCAGGGTTGCACCGGGTATCAAAAGGCTGGACAGGCTCTGAATAGGGCGTCACAGTAGAAATAAATAGTAGAGATAGTGATCGTTATTTAAAATAATGCGCCTAAAGGGTGCATGAGAAGTGAAACCGTGCAGAATCAATCTCTCGCTTCAGGGAAACCTGCGCTGGCTGACGATTCAAAACAAGACTGGAGGAGAGATGAGGGAAAACATAAGCCACACTATAACTGACTCATCATGTGCTGCACACACACACACACACACACACACACACACACAAAGAGGAGATAACAATTGATTTACTTCCAATGGGTGATTTATTCATATACACTGAAAAAACTGAAACGTTGTCTTTTATTAAATGTAATGTGTCAACAGATTTCACATAAGTGTATTTAATTAAAGTCAACGTTTCAGTTTTTTCAGTGTAGAAATGATCATTTAGGCGGTTAAGTATTCCTTGTGTGTGTGTGTGTGTGTGCGTGCGTGCGTGCGTGCGTGCGTGCGTGCGTGGGTGCGTGCGTGTGCGCGTGAGAAAGACCCTGGGAAAGACCTCCAGCTGTCTAGACAAAAACTAAACAAACACACACAGGTGCACCATCACACACACATATCTTTGTTATTGTGGACCACACAAGAAAACCATTTATCCAACACACACACACACACACACACACACACACACACACACACACACACACACACACAGTCCCCCTCCTCCTCTCTGAACGAGCTCTTCCTGTTACCTAGCGATGCCTGCTGTCCAATGACAGAGCTCCTCTCCCCCAGCCTTCGCTCCCATTGGCAGGCTGTTTTTTTTCGTGGTCTCCTTGGAAGCGTTTTTATTTTTGTTGCTATGTCATAAATGTGCCTGCCTGCGCTGAGACGGGCGAAACGTGAGTGGCTAGTTTGGGCTGTCAATCATCCCAGGCCACGCCTCCTTACTGTCTCAGAGGATGCTGATTGGATGATGATGATGAGATTGAGGATGATGAAGATGTTTTTGATAGAGCGTTGCAATACACCTACTATTTGCCTTTTTGATAATATTAGTCATATTTTAACGTAGTGTTCTTAAATGTACGTTTTGTATTGTTGTTGTTGTTGTTATTATTGTTGTTTATTCACTTGAGAACAAAACAATTTTTCTTCGATCCATTGTCACACCATTTATTTCATTTTTTTTGGGGTGTAAAACGACCTACCACAGGAAAGCTGCAGATGATTGAGAGGACGTGTAAATACAACACTTCTGATTTCAAAGTGCCATTTGTAGTTTTAAGAGCAACCCATTCGTGCACTCCTTTCATTCAGTCCTGAGGTCAAAATGGACTTATTGCATGTAAACAGGAAGTGCTACTTCCTGAATCATCGGCTCTCCTCCCCCGGCCAGCGTCTACATGTGTGCCTTCTGCTGGTGGGGGGGGGGCGGAGACTCCCCTCTGCAATGACCCCCTCAATACTCTGTAATAATACGGTTGCCTTTTGACACCGACAGCACCAACATATTCATCAAATACTTCATATAACACGGCCAGGATGTATGGAAGTCTATTCGGGGCAGGAACATATCAAAAAAATTGTTTAAATTGTGATTAATGACACCAAAAAAAACGATACATAGAAACTCTATTGTTGATAACTTGGGAAAAGTGAACATCTGTAGATCCATTAACAATGCATAAACAAACATCCGCTGAAGACGTTTTTTATAAAAGCTCGCAAAGCAGCACAGAGTTGGTGGATTGTTTTTGATAAGAAATACTGAAAAAGAGGATTTACTAAGGGGAAATTGTGATTTTGAAAGTCAAAACTACTAGATTTGCAATCTTTTTTACTCTATCATAATATTGACAACAACAAAAGTGAATTAGTATCTGATACATTTCATTTATTTTATTTGTCTTGCATAAGATTAGCTTTTTTCTCTTTTCTTGGCACAAATGGGCTTGATCAAAGTTTCTTATGCTGCGTTCCAGAGAAAGTCGGACCCTTCAAACTGTTGTTATTTTCCACATTCTTTCATGTAAGGTTGAAGTAACGATGACCTACCAGTGCAGATGTGTATTGTGTTTCCGACATGTAATGGAACGCAACATAAGTAACAATGTTACAAGTGAAATACACAGAAATAAGTGTCCGGCCTCAAACACATTAAAGACATTTCCAAAGAAGGAATCCTCCTAAACCCGACTCTTGGACAAGAGTTACACCTGACTTGAACTTTCTTTCTTTTTTTTGGGTCAAACACTTTGCTTTACAATTTCCATTTTCTCCAGTTCCTGTAACTCTTCAAAAGTATTTGAGTACACAATAACACACATACTTAAAGAGCAGCGGTGCTGGAGAAAAGAAGGTGTGAAAGAAGCAGTTTTCCTCCTTTGTGTTGTAACTCATTCTGCCTCTTTGAATCAGCGCTGTGCAGCGCCTTTCCTCTGACAATGTTGAAGAAAATATATGAAAAAACACTCTTTTTTTGTTGCAATATGTGTGCATATTTAAGCAAAACCTCAATATCTTACAGGCAGTGACTATTGTAGAAGTCTTCCACCTGTTGTTCACTTTGATCCTGCAAGCATCTTCAAAATGTAATGTGGGACATGTAGTTCATTCTGGTTTCAGTGTAAAAAGGTTCATCCTTCCTTCCCCTGAAGTGGAAGGAAGGTGGAGTTGAAATCTGTTCACAGCATGGCTCACACTCTTATATACAGGCCTACTTATCCTCAATGGTAATAACTACTTACTTGTGTATTAAAACCTGTTCTTTTATTTATATTGGGTGGTCTACGTGCTGCAAGGTTTGTTATGTTGTTGTTTGTCTTCTGTTTGTTTCAAACTGAAGACAATGGTTTATCGTTGTTGTCACAGAACATGGTATGAATCGGACACATTTCAGTTAGCCTTCGATTTAAAAAATGAATAAAAAAGTTTTATAAATATGTCCACGTCTCCTCCCGGGTATTTATTTATTTTATTTTAAATATGAGTTACATAAACAAAACATTGTTTTCGTTATATAATACCTTTTTCATTTTAAATATATGTTTATGTGGTTAGTGTCTGTAATATTTGAGTCCAGGGGTCATTTATTCAATTTTATACAATATACAGTATACAAGTTGCATTTAGTCAAGATATTTAAGTTTGCTTAATATTCATTTATACAGTACTATTTAATATATA